AGGATTCAACAACGGTGCTGGGACAACTGGGTATGCACATGCCAGAAGACAAGCTTAGACCCTTACCTCACACCAATGCAGAAATTAATGCAAAGTGGATCATAGACTTCAATGGAAGAGCTAAAACTATAAGATTTTCAGGAGGGCCAGCCCGTGGCTTAGGGGTTAAGTGCACGCGCTCCGCTACTGGCGGCCCAGGTTCGGATCCCGGGTGTGCACCGATGCACCGCTTCTCCGGCCATGCTGAGGCCGCGTCCCACATACAGCAACTACAAGGATGTGCAGCTATGACATACAACTATCTACTGGGGCTTTGGGGAAAAAAAAGGAGGAGGATTGGCAATAGATGTTAGCTCAGAGCTGGTCTTCCTCAGCAAAAAGAGGAGGATTAGCATGGATGTTAGCTCAGGGCTGATCTTCCTCACACAAAAAAAAAGATTTTCAGGAGAAAATCTTTAAGTCCTTGGGTTAGGCAAAGGTTTCTTAGATACAATACCAAAAGCATGGTCCATAAAAGAAAATTTGATAAATTAGACTTTGTCAAAATTTAAAACTTTGGTGCTTCAAAAGACAGCATGATGAAAAGACAAGCGACAGACTGGGAGAAACTATCTGCAAAACAGGCATGTGTTGAAGGAGGAGCATCCTGAGCCTAAAAATGAAGAAAGGGCCTCTGAGGGCTGATGCCACCAGTGAAGCCGCCCTGGGTCCCTAAATCTCATGGTCTCTCCACTGCATTTGTTATTTTGCAGCAGTCCCGTAGCTGAGTGGAGCCTCCAGGCGTGACTTGAACCCTCGCTGAGAACTGACTCAGGTAGGAAAAGCCTCACTAAGGTCTTCTGACTCGCAGGCTTCGCCTCACTCCCTGATTTTCCACCTGCTTCCTCAGCACGGGCTCCCCCCAGTGGCCACCAGCAGAACTGTAGCTTCCTGTCACAGTTCACCCAGAGCCTGCGGCGACTGAGATGCCTGCCCGCTCCACCAAGAGACCCCAGGAAAGCCACTGCTGCTACTCTGACCCTCTGGCAGAAGGCTTACTGTTCAAATGTACCGTGTTCAATGTAAACTATTATAAGTTTACATTTGGCTAAACATGTTAGTGTAAATGAGTTAACCAGCGACCTGGGGTAATAAAACTGTGGGCAGCCTAGGCAGAAAGAGGGGAGCAGAAAGTAAGAAAGCTTAAAAAGACAGGCAGGAGACCCCCTGCTCCAGTTAGATGCTAATCCAGAGGGTACAAGGGTGAGTTCTTGTGCTCTCCTTCCTTGTTCCGGGACTAATCTCATGATGCCCTCTATCCCTATTTTTGTGAGTTAGCACAAGGAGTCCCAGACTCCCAGGCCACCTCCCCTCTGCAGTCCCTTTACCTTTATTCCCTTCCTCATCTCCATCTCCCACCCCTCCCCAACTCCTGAAACCATTCCCCTGTGCCCCCTGGAACTCCACCTGCTTTCCATTTGACAAACATCTTTGTGATACTTCTTGTGTGCCAGACATTGTTCTCCACGACTGACAAATCTCAATCCACTTATTCCTCTTAACAGCGCTGTGAAGTGGTACTAATTGCTAGCACCATCCCCATTTCAAGATGAGTCAACTGGGGCTTGGAGACCTTAAGTAGCTTGCTCGAGGTCTCCAGCGAGCAAGTGTTGGAACCGGGATTCAGTGTCACAGAGCCCACGGTGCCCAGAAACACCCCAGCCCCTCAGTACCTCATCTTCTCACTGGGAACTGAACCCCAAGACTCCCCAGGACCCCAGGACCCTTACCGCCCTCTCAGGGTGGTTTCTGTTTCTCTTCAACACCACTGGCCTGGGGCTGGGAGAGACATCTTTCTAGCCCCTCGTTGCAACTTCCAGGCTCTTCTTCCTTCCTCCCCACTAAAGCCCCCAATCTTGGACCCGCAGGTGTCAGCCTAGACATCCTGCTCCCTATCTTTTTTACAGGCATCGACTCCTCCCCGAGATCGCTCCCCTTCTCTGAAAAGTTAGTTCCCGCCTCACTGTCACTTGGTACTGTTCCCCTCTTCATTCTAACTGATTTCAGTCTCCACATATCCCCAAAGATAATCCTTCCAACACACTGTCCTCTCGGTTCCTTGATCCCCCTGCTCAGCCGCTAACTCCATGGTCATGCCCCAGACCTTATCACTACCCATAACTGCAGTTGCTTCTTCATCTCGGTGTCACACAGCTCATTTACCAACAGCCGCTTCCTATCTGTCAGCTCACACCCTCTAGTACTCAACAATCCTCTACCCCCTGGAACTCCAACACCTTGCACTATTCCTCACCCATCTCAACTCTCATCTCTCTCCTTACCTGGCTCAAATTCTATGGCCAATCATTAAAATTACTCCCTTGCATAGTCCTTCAATCCTTGTGTCTCATTCTCATATTTGCTTGGGAAAACCTCTACTCCAATTGAATGTGACTCTGCCTCTTCCACACCTGCAGCCACACATCTGCATACAGCTGGGGAAATGCACAGCGAGTCTCGCTGCTCCTGTTGTAAATTCAAGACCTGAACCTCAGTGGTCCTTAGTGCTCCCTGGCAATCCTACTACATCCCCCTAGTCCATTCACTTGCTCACTCCTCTAGACTTCTATTTCTACCTTTTTTCCTGTCTTCAGACATACCACACCTGCCCACCGCCAACATCATGCACTCATCTGAGACCTTGTTCCCTCTTTTACGGGGAAAATAGACGTGGTGGGAGAGAGCGTCCGCAAGTTCTGCCAGCACACCTGCTTCCCCTCCTGCTGCCACGGGTCAGCTCTCTGGCTCTTGGTGAAGGCCATCTTCTCCACCTGTGCCCTAATTCTCGACCCCTCCCCTATCTTCACATTGCTCCCGCGATCCCCCCTCTCTTCTACATGCCCACATTTTTATTTTCTACTCGATCATTCCCATCAGCATGCAGTGTGCTGCCATTTCTCCGTCCTAACCACCTCCAGGTCTTGTTACTCTCCCGAAGAGTTGTTCATGCCCTCTGGCTCCAATCTCTCTTGCACCTATTCTAGTCTGGCCACTAATAACCTCCACATTGCTTCAACTCTGCTAATTCTCCGTTGTCATCTTACTTGACCACATCAACACAAGTGGTCCCTCCTGCCTTCTGGAAACGTTGTTTTTATTGGGCTTCCAGGATGCCACCCTTTCCTGCTGTTCCTCCTTCCTCACTGCCTGCTCTTCTCAGTCTCTTTTTCTGTTTCCTTCTCATCTACCAAGCTCTCTAGATTGGAGCATCCCAAGGCTCAGACCTTGAACCTCACTCTACACTCACTCCTTCAGCGATCCAGTCTTGCGCCTCGAACAGTCGTCTGCATGCTGACGACGGTGACAGTTATGTCTCCAGACTTCTGAATTGTGAACTCACGTATCCAACCTCCTGCTCGACATCTCCTTCGCACGTCCAGGACCCAACTCCTGATCCACCACCCTGCACTTCACATCGTGTACTTCCTGTCTTTCCCCTCCAATAACAGCGCCGCCGTTGTTCCAGTTGCTCAGGCCAAAAACCCCAGAGTCATCCCAGACTCCTTTCACACTCCCCACCCAATCTATCAGCAAATCTTGTTGGCTCCACCTTCAAAATATTTCCAAAATCTGACCACTTCGCCACCTCCACTGCTTCCGTCCTGGTCCAGGCTACCATTATCTCTTGCCTGGATTGCAACAAATTCCTCCTAACGGACCTCTTTGTGTCTACTTCTCTGCTTGCCCCTGCCCCCATTTATTCTCAATGCAAGGGTCTAAGTGATCCCCTTAAAACCTGAGTCATTTCATGTCACTCCTTGGCTCAACCTCCCCCTCCCTGTGCCCTTGGCTCTCCCCTGTCCAGCCCACTGGCTGGTTATTTGCTCTTCCTCAGTGCTCCAGGCAAGCTTGCACCCCTGGGCCTTTTGCTCTGCCTGAGTGCCCTTTCCCCCATAGCTGCGTGGTTTGAGAGGTTTGCTCCCTCTCTTCAAGTCTTTGCTCAAATGTCATCTTAGTGAGGCCTTCCCCAATCACCCTCTTTACAATTCTAATCTCACCCTCGTCCTGCACTGCTTCTCCCACTAGAATCCCACGAGGGGGCGTTTATTTGTCTTGTTCACGGATGCATCACCAGCCTTCATCTGGCATGGAGCAGTTGTTCACCAAATATTTGTTGAGTGATTGAATGAACAAGCCTGCGTTTCTTGAATGGGAGTAAAGAGTTTCTAGGGTGAGATGAGGGCTGGAACCAAAACGAGTGATCTTTTGAAATCAGAACAACCTTGCAGATAAGTCCAAGCAACTACCAGTCACCTCCAGTTTTCTCCTGCGCTTTCCACTGTTATCCATGCTGGAAGAACACTGATACCAGTGACCGTGAGCCCTGCATTCGAGTCTTACCAAGATGCTCAGGCTCAGGATTGGCTCAGGCCCCGGGGCAGGTGCTGATCTCCCTGGTTAGGTCGAGGTAAGACAGTGATGTTTACTGAGTCACTGCTCTGTGCCAGGCACTCTACATCCCTACCTAATTTAGTCTTAGGAGCCATTGCCTGTCCTGGAAAGTGGATTGGAGCATCGTAGGATGTTAGAGATGATCATCTTGAGCCCTGTCTGCACGGCATCCCATGAATGCAGTGGTTCCATCCTCCAAACCAAATATTTCCCCTCTGAGACCTGACCCAGCTTTGTGAAGTTTCTTCATTTATATACAAGACAGGCTTCACGAAGGTAGAATTAGGAAGACCCATGTGGATGTGCATTTTACAACTCTTTTTGTAAGCGGATGAAGTGGTCAAAATAAGAACTCTCGCAGGGAATCTGGGCTCTTCTGTCATCACAGCCCTGGGCTGGGGGGAAGCTGTTCTCTTACGGGTAGGGCTGCGGGCCATCTCAGGGCTGACCTGCTGCCTTGACCAGCTACAAGCTGGCACTGGGCACTGGGTCTGACGCGCACTCAACACACCTCCCCACAACTCCCCGGCAGGCTTCTGCGTTTTACGTAGTGAAGGGGAGCCCTCGCATCTGAGCTGGACACCCCGCTGTTCACCAGGGAGCCTCCCAGCATGGCTGTCTCGCCGGGCGACCTGAATGTGGTGGGAAAGGCCAAGAACATGACGGTGGATGACTGCTTCCACTCTCGGAACACGGTCCTGCAGGGGCAGCCCTTTGGGGGGATCCCCACTGTGCTGTTCCTCAACATCACCCTGTGGGTGGTGAGTCCGGGGCACTGCGGGGGGCAGACAGGGATGGAGCAGTGGCCGCGGTTGTCCAACTGGACGCCAGCCACAGTGGCGGGAACTCCCTGAACATCAGTCCTGCCCAGGGCGGCCGGGGTGGGTGGGCCTTGGGGAAAAGGAGGCTGGAAATAAGGGCAGAAGTGCTAAGATTCTCTTTCATGCGCCATTGTTCACAGGCCCACTGGCCAGTGCCCTTGGGCCTTCCTCTCTCCCTTTGCTGATTTCTTCGAGGAGTGTTCTTGTCCAATAGTTCTAAACATGCCCTTCGTGCCACCAGCACCTTCATTCAGCGAACTCTGAGCATCTACTCTGTGCCAGGAAACTGCTGGGCACTGGGCATCCAGAGTTGAAAAAGGCATGGCCCTACCCTAACCGAGCTGGCCACCTCGTGGGGGAGCCCCAGGGAGCCCCGGGGCCCTCAAGAACAGGGCCGGCTGAGAGGAAGGCATCCATCCGCTTTTTTGCCCCATCTCGCCTTTCTGGCCTGTAGGTCATCATTTTGATTTACTCCTTCCTCCGGAAAGCTGCGTGGGACTACGGGCGCCTGGCTCTGCTGATACACAATGACAGGTGAGGAGAGACTGGGGACCAGGATGAGCGAGCTGCTTGCTCCTGTGGGGGACGTGCCACCATGACCAGGACATGGCTCTGACCAGTGCCCAAGCTGCAGCAGGTGTCCCATCAGCAGGTGGTATATCGTCACCCATCCCTGCCCCTGCTCTGGCCCTCCCTGCACGAAGGGACTTGGAGGGCAGCCATCTCTGGGCATGAGGCCACTTTTTTCTCAGATCTCAGACTTTCTGGATCCCATGACTCCCAAGATGCGTTAGGCACCTGGCAACAGGGGTGTTTAATGTCTGTACCCAGAGCTGTGTGCTCAGCAAACGAGCTGAGGCGTGTCTGCTGCTGGGCGGGAGGGGACTGCAGCCCTCGGCCCAGGGAGCAGGAGAGACCGGAAGGCCGGCACCTGAGGCCTTTTCTCTCCTTTTCCACCCACTGCCTTTCCGGGCTGGCAGCCTGACCTCGCTGATCTATGGGGAGCAGAGCGAGAAGACGTCCCCCTCGGATATTTCGCTGGAGATGGAGCACAAGGACAAGGTGAGTGCTGGGTCCTGGCTCTGGGCAGGCAGCCCTGGCAAGTGCTGGAAGGAGCGTGCTCATAATCAGGGGCTGTGCAGTCAGCCAGACCCAACCACTTGTAGCAGTGTGACCTGGGACAAATTCCTCAGCCTTGCCAAGCCTCTGTTTCCCCATCACAAAGATGGAAATATTAACCATCCCCACCTCCTAGGGTGCCAAGTAAGTGTTAGCTAATTCTAATATTTTCAAGGGATTTTTGAAACTAATTTTCTACTCTTCTCAAACCTCCATCTGTTCTCACTGCCCCAAGCCCCCACTCTGAGCCAAGGACTCACCTCCCACTTCACATAGAAGATTCGAGACATCAGGCAGGGATTCCTTCAACCTCCTGCCACCCAACTCCTCCTGATGGAGCCCGGTCTCCTCCTTCCGTCCTTTTCCTGTCGAATGCCAGTCCTCCGCCTGAACTTCTTCATTTATTCAGCCAGTTGCTGTGGCGCACCAGCTGTGTGCCAGCCACAGGTCTGGGGACTGGGCAGTGAACAAAACAGACCAAGTCCTGCTGCCTGGCACTTTCTTCCTGGGTGAGAGACACTCAGACAGATGCAGATGGGACGCTGGTAAGTGCATGAAGGAAACAAGGGGCAAGGAAGGCACTCAACAGTGATGGAACAGAGCTGGAGTATTATAGATGGTGGTCAGGGATGGTCTTGGGCATAAGATGACATTTGCGTGGGGACCTGAATGCAGAGAGGGAGGGAGCCATGAGAACTTCTCTTGCACACCACACCCCCCATGACTGTCTGTCTCCTCTGCCCCGTCACTGCTAAACTCCTGCAAGAGTGGTCTAGGCTGGTTGTCTCCATCGTCTCACCTCCCACTCACTCCTCAACCCCCTCAAATGTGGCTTCCAGCCCCACCATTCCACCCAGACAGCCCCCAAGGTCATCAGTGGCCCCATGCTACGAAATCCGATGGACTTTCCTCGGTTCTTATCTCATCTCTCAGAAACATCTGACCCCATAGACCACCTCCTCTTCTTGAACAGGCCTTTCCAGTTGCTTCTACAACATCATACTCTCTGCATTATCCTTCTGCCTCTCTGTCTATTCCTCCCCTGTCCCCTTTGCAGGTTCCTTCTCCACACGTGGAGTCCCCACAGCTGATCCCAGACTCTCCCCCTCTTGCTCTCCACTCTCTGTTTCCCGGGCAATGTCATCTACACTCCCAACTTCAATCGCCACCTCTATACTCATCCCTCCTGACTTCCATCTCCAGCTAAACCTTCCTCTGGGCCCCAGCCCCATTTGTCCGATGGCCTTCAAACTATCTCCACGTGGAAATTGTAAAGGTGTTGCTGATTCAATATGTCCACAGCAGGCCGTGATCTCCCTCCACCTCCGCCTGCCCCTAGATCTCCGGTCTCAGACTCTTCCCACCACCTACCCAGCTACGCCCCTTGCTCTTGCCCAGCCCCCAAGCATGGCCAGTTCATTACCAAGCTGTGTGCTTTTACCTTCCCAGCTTTGTTTCTCTCCCACCATCTCCCAGTCCAAGCCTCCATCAGTCTCTTGCTTGATGATGGGGGTAGCCTCTAACTGATCTCTTTAGGTCCACACTTGCCCCCTGCCCCATCCAGAGCGATCTCCATGAATAGGGATACCCATTCCCCCATGTAAACCTTCAGTGGCTTCCTAATGCTCTTGGAGTAAATTGCAGATGCCTTGCCATGGTCTCATGGTTTGGCCTCTTGCCCACGTGTTGTCTACCTTTCTCCTTCCAACTCCCCCATCCGCAGCCACATTGCCTATCTTTTAGATCCTCAAAAGTGCTGCCCCCTTTCCCCTACAGGGCCTTTCACCTGCTCTTCCCTCTCCCCCTTCCCCTCTGACCCCTCTCTGAGTGAATGGAATCACCCTTTGTTCAGATTTCAGCTCAAGCACCACTTCCCCAGGGAGCCCTGTCCACCCCATTGGGGTCCAGATCCTTTGTTATACACTCATGGAAAATGCATTCCTCTTCTGTGGCGCTCCTAACCCAGGCCGTAATGATACACCTATGCGATTGGTCTGGTGTGTCTGCTTCCCCCAGCGAGAGCAGGAGCTGACCTGGTCTTGCTCACTGCAGTCCTAGCGCCCAGTCCGGCCTGTCATGTAATTAGCATCTGATACATATTTTTCGGATGCAGTGAGTCAGTAGAACCATATTCCTTTTGTTATCATCCCTCTAAGAGACCAGGTCCCCTTCCCGCCAGGATCTGCCCCGTACAGAGCAGGGAGCTCAGACAAGCTCATCCCTTGGGGCTTTCTCCATAGAATAAGGACAGTCACACCGGCCTTGCAAGGTGGCTTTCAGGTTTATTTTTAGAAACGTCACTTTAGTTTGGGTTTTTTTTCGTACAATGACAAAAAGGTCATTTTATTTTAAAAATATCTAAGAAGATAAATCGTTATGGCAGCAATGGGGCTGTCAAACTGAAGAGTGTAGAAGTTAGACAAGGAGGGAGTGTGAGGTGAGGTGGCCCTGCCGTGCTCCAGCCAGGGTGGTGGGGCCTCTGCCAGGCTGAGTGGTGTGGGCAAAGCAAAGGGGCTCTCACCATAGTTCCCCAAGCAAGTCAGAGCAGGGGTCATTGCCCCCTGTGGCGGGAGTGGGGAGGATGGGGCCACCAAGATAGGTGCAGTGAACTGACCGCTGCCACTCGGTCTTGTCAGCTGAGCTGGCTCCTGGGGGCTCGTGACCGTTTCCTGCAGGGGCGGGGAGAAGAGGGGAGGTGGCATCTGCTTCTCAGGCCACTGTATGTGTGTAGCATGTGTGTCTGTGAGAGATGGGGCGGGGGAGATGGTCCACACATGCTCGTTCATAGACACATCTGTGTCTATATGATTTTCATGGGCACATAGGCCATACTTCTACTCATGACCTCTGCCCTTTCCTGGACATCCTGTCCTGTGTGAATTCCAGGGCGTGTACGGGCCATGTGTGGTGTGCATCTGTCTTGGAAGGGGTGGACGTGATTCCCGGGAAGGTGTGTCCTCCACCATGCATAACCACTAGGGGCCATCAAAAAACCTACTTGCTCCCGTAGTAAATTGCACCCCTTTGCCCAGAGGTGGGCCGTGGAGAAAGACTCCATGCAGGGAGGGGTGGCTGGACTCTCAGCCCAGCTCTTGTCTAGCAGTCCACCCCTCCCTGGAGACTTTCCCAGTCGCTGCTGCCACCATCGTGCTATTCCCCTTCATCACTCTGACTCATACCTGGGCATCTGTTTTCCCTTTCTTTCCCCAGGATGTAGCTGGGGAAATGGTCCCACCCAACGTGGACACTCCCCAAGTGGGCATTCCCACTGTTGGTCAACCCAGCACAGGGAGGGGGACTTAGAAGGCGGGCCTTATGCTGAAGGGAGCAAGAAACTTCTTTCTGTTTCTTGCTTGCCTGCTCCTGCCCCTGCCCCTGCCCCTCATTGCTTCCTTTTGGGATATACCCCTTCCCCAATCTGTGTGGTTCCAGGACTGTCAACCAGGTGGGCCTGCCTGGTTCACTGATGTGCTCGCGACCCAAATGGGGCCAATCAAGAGGTGCAGCCTTTTCCAAGATTTTGCTAAACCCTCCGGGATCCCGGAAGGAAGTGTGCACCAGGGTAACTTAACTGGCTACCAGATCTGGCAGCTTTTAGAGCCCTGGTCCCAGCCCCCTTCATGCACACTCTTCCCAAGCTGACTCCCTCTTTAGGCCCTCCCTGCACCTCCATGGCCAAGGCTGCCTTTTCCCACCACCTAGAAACTCCAGATAGCAAGACCCTGAGAGAAAGCATAATCAACAGGACTTTCAGGTGCAAGAGGAGAAGACCAGCTCAAACTAGTGTTGAAACAAAAGGCTAAAGTGTGGCTCGAGTGTGGAGAAATCCGAGGGAAGTGGCTGCTTCAGGTACAGGTAGATCCAGGAAGGAAGTCTAGCATTACCACCAGGATCCCCTCTCTGGTCTTCTGTCCTCTGAGCTGGCTTTTTTTCTCAGACAAGCTCCTGCATGTGGTATCAAAGATGGCACCACGCCACTGCAGGCTTCGTGGTGTTTACGGAGGTGCAAGAACTCAGAGGGGGAGAGACCCACTGTCCCAACACCTGTATCAATCCCCTTAAGAGAATTTTAATTGGCCTTACTTGGGTATGCTCCCATTGGTCAACTGACCACTGGTGGTAGATGCCTACTTGATGGACAGCCCCCCAGGCCATATGCATGGGGGAGGGGCATTTCCCAGAAGGAAGCAATGAGGGACAGACAGAAAGCAACAAATGTCTACCCCAGAGAGTCCTTTCTCTCCCTCTAGTCCAAAGCCCACCTTCTAAGTCCCCATTTCCTGTAACAGGATGACAGGTGGCAGGAGTGTCAACTCACTTCTCTCTCCGCAGTCACCACTGATTCCAGACCGAGCCCGCTTCCTTCCAGGACACAGGCTCTTTCTCGCCCTCTCTTGCCAGGAAAGGAGGCCCTGTCTGGACATAGCCACATTCTGCCTCGGACGACCCACCAGCTGCTGCCTGGGCTACCAGAGCGGGGTGGGGCAGGCTCGGCCTGGATTTTCTCACAATTTCTCTCTCTTTTTCCCCAGGGCTTCTATTCCTGGTTCTTCAACACCATCACCATGAAGTAAGTGCCTGAGCTTTCTGGGCTCGTGACAGCAGCGTTGCCTTCTTTGGGGGAGGCCTGGGGTCAGAGTCTCCTGCCCTTCACGACTGGGCCTGGGCCTGAGTTCTGTAGCCCACCCTCCACTCCCCACGCCCCACTGACCACCTCAGCCCGGCCCAGGCAGTGGATGCTTTCGGGGTTACATTGGTGAAATGGGAACTGGACGTAGCCCACAGCCCATTTTATCTCTGCCACAGCCCTCAGGAAAGGAACACTTTCACATGCTTATAAAAATGCTTTTATGAACTCCACACCAGGGAAAAGAAATCCTTCCTGCATTGCTGTTTGCGTTATTTCTGTGAACATCATTCATCATATTTGTTGAAATGGAAAAAAAAAAAAAAAACCCAGCAGGCAGAAGGGCAGGCTTCCTCTCTCAGCCTCAGTGCCTGATTACAGAGAGACAGCCCTTGCCCTCCTCACCTTCTGCATCTCATTAGTGCCAGACCCCACTTGGCAAGGAGACAGACCCCAGGTCTCCTGTTTTCTTCTGATTCCCCCATATCAGCCAGACACTTCAGCTGAGGATACACTCATCAGAGCTCTATGCCCCCGTGTGTGTACACACATGTGCATACGCACCTGCACGCACTCAGGCGTGTGCACACATACACGTGTGCACACAGCTCTGCCTCCACCTCAGAGTCCTGTACGTTCCTGGGCTCTCCCTTCTATCCCTCATCCCTCCCGCCCATCCGGCAAACCCCTCCTCCAGGGTCCCTTCTTGCCTGGCGATGCCTGCCTTAGGGTGTAGCCTCGCCGCTCCTCAGAGGCCTCCTGCACCAGGGGCCCTGACTGGGCCTGCTATTTGCTTCTTCACAAAGGTTCATAGGACACTTCCTCCATGTGCCTCCACGTCCGCCATTCAAGGGCCTTGCTGGGAGCATCCATACATTGTCCCAAGACCCCGCCCCACCCCCATGAGCCACACTGGGGCACCTCTCTTCCCCCAGACCTGCCAAAGGACCGGGGCCCCGTGGGGGCACAAGGCACCCTGACTGGGCCCTGGGAATCCCAAGCGGGACTTAGGACCATCGGCCTCTGGTGTTTGAGCCCCAACTCCACTGAGGGGACTCACCATGGCCTTGGCCTCCGGTCTTCCTTCATCATTCATCAGAGTCCCCAGGAAGTGACCCAGCTAGTTTGTGTGTGGTTCAGCGATCCTAGCCACATGTGGGGGAGTGGAGAGGAGACTTTTATTTCCTGGAACCTTCTCTGGTTTTGCTTTAATTTTTAAAACACGTGTGAACTCACATAAATACATTTTAAGAGAAACATGAAAGTCCACCTCCCGTCTCTCATGCCCCTCTTCAGAGCCCCCTCTGCAGAGGCAATCCCTGTCAACGGTTTCAAGGGAATTTTACTTTTTACCTTTCAACAAGCATTTACTATTTTTGCATTTTTAAAATAACAAATAATGTGTATGAACATTTGGAGCTTATTACCCTGAGAGGCTGTATGGGCTGGCTCTAGGTTCCTGGGCTTAGCAAATTCATGAATGATGAGCAGGGGTGTGATGGCAAATTAGCCAGCCCTTTGCATGGGAAAGAGGGAAGGAAAGCTGGGACAAATGGAAAGCAACAGTCCCATCTGCCCACACTGACCACATCCCTAGGTCTGGGAGAAAAGGCATCGCTTAGGAAAGTTTGAGGCCTTCTGGATTTTTTCTGCTGTCTGCTGACATGTCAATGGGTATATACAGGGCAGGAAAGAAAGGGTCTGTGTTGGGGGGAGTAGCGGACATGCAAAACATAAAACTTCGTGTGGTAAGTGTCTCTGTGGTGTGCATGTGAGTGTGAAATGAAAGATGCGTGTCACTGCATTGGTGCAAATCTGTGTGTGCAGCTGTTCGTGTGTGCACACCTGGACCTGCAGGTCAATGGGAGATCAGTGTACACAGCTGTATGTGTGTCTGTGTGAGGATCCTCTTCCCCCACCCCCACCCCACCCAAAGGCCCCTCCATCAGGAACACATCATCCAGGAAGGGAGGAAGGCTGGACGTTGCACTATGAATCCTGTGCCCTTTGGGAGCAGTGTCTAGAAAACAGCTGAATACATTTACTGAGCAGGGACAAGGAAGCCAGAGTCCCAGTGCACAAAGCCCATGCAGTCCAGTTGGAGAAGCAAAAGTAAACAAGACTCACTACATATAATTCATAATGGGGAGGTTATAATTGCTGTGCAAAGGGCATTTGGGAGAGTGAGAAATTAATTCCAACAAGAGGGTTCAGGAGAAGCATAGTTTTGAGCTGGGTCTTGGAGGACAGGAAGAATTTGTACTGTTGTGATGTGGCGAGCCCATCAGAAATAAAGGACTATGTGAGCAAAAGTTTGAGGCAGAGATGGCAGGGAGTGTCCAGAAATGGTAAATGTTCTGATGTGGCCAGAGGCAAGAGTACATGGCAAGAGAGGGGCTACAAGATTGGGCCGGAAGGACCAGCTGGGACCTTGACTGCCACACTGAGAATCTTGGGCTTTGATCTAGAGGCAGTACAGAGCCAATTACTATTTTTGAGCAGAAAACTCAGGATGATGTCTGCTTGTAGACAGGAGTGTGAGGGGTGAATGGCGGTTGGGAAAGTCCAAAGGCAAAGTGAGCAGCTAAGGAGGCTATGCCAGTGTCCAGCTGAGAGGTGGAGGCCAGTGTCCAGCCGAGAGGTGGAGGTGACCAGGGAAATAGTAGGGAGGAGGCACAGGGGAGGCAGGTCATGGGGCTACAGTCAGTGGTCGTGGTTTCCACCTGGCTTCCACCTGGTTAAGAAAGAAGGAGAAATCAAGGTCTGATTTCTGGGGAGGATAGTAATGCTACTAGTTGGGAGATAATGAGATATGATGATGAGATAAAATGAGTTGGGAAAATGATTGATACGGCCAGGGCAAGCATGTGAGTTGACCAGCAAGCTGTTGAAAAAACAGGATTAAAGCTTAGGAGAAATGTGGGAGCTAGAGATTTAGACTTGGGAGATGGGTACACAGAGGTGGTAGTTGAAGTCATGGAGCAGATGGGTCACCCAAGGGGGCAAGATCAAAAATAGCCAAAGGGAGAGCGTAGTTGGGGCAGGAAGAAGAGGTGGTGTCCTCTAGGGCCTGGGCTCATGGGAGCCAGGCAAGTGCGAAGCTCCAGAGAGGCTGTGGCCAGCAGCCTCCAACATTCGGAGGTTGAACGGAATGAGAGCTGAGAAGAGGATGTCGCTTTGGTGATTTGGGTCTCCATTGGGAGTGCAGGCCCAGGATAAGGAGATGTCCAAGAAGTAGAGGCAGAGAAGGAAGGTCACCTTTTTCAAGCGGTAGGTAGGAGGACAGGGGTAAAGATATTGGATAGAACTTGAGGGGAAGCAGGCCAGGGGGTGGATGCTTGAGGAGATTCTTATTTTATTTTGAGTAACACATGAGCACTTGACCCTGGCTGTAGTTTAAGGGGAAGAAGTGTGGGTGAGTGTAGAGAGAGGTAGATGTTAAGTCAAAGATGAGAGAGAAGGACAATGGACACAGCAATTCTCCAGAAAGAGATAGAGGAGGGAAAAAGATTAGGGCAGAGATGAGAATTCATTGTTGAGGAGGAGGTGATTGGCTGGACCGTCACGGTGGCAGCATTTTAAAGAATGGCGGGAAGAGGAAAGAAGTGAATAGAGGAATATAGACAGACTCAAAGATACAGTCTTCCCTCAGACTGTAATCTAGGCTGCTGCATACAACCTGGGCTTCTGGTGGAGCTAGAGCAGTGGGCCCAGTGCGGGAAGCAGGAATTGCCTTGCCAGGAGGGAAATTCTCGTGTTCTTGGTCTCTTCCAGCCCTCTGCTCCCTCCACATGATGGGAGGCTCTCTCAGACCTCGCCCCGCCTCAGCCACACTGTTTCTGTCAAGTGACCAGATCTTGGCACCCCAAGCCCACAGCAGGACGCTCCCCTGTTCTCCCTCTCTGACACGCAGCCTCCTCAGCAGTTCTCATCCACTCCATTCTTGGGATTTAATTCTCAAGTCTAAGGCAGGAAATATTATAAGTGCTTGCAGTTAAAAAAACCAAGAGCTATAAATTCCCTAAATGGGGATAGTGAAAACCTTGAAGATATGCTGTTTGTAGTATTGTTTAAAAATAAATCTGAATCCTGGACTGAATACTAGAAGCTGCACACAACCTACAAGCCTGACCAGAGGGCAAGGGTGAGTCAGCCATGGCATGTCCACCAATGGAGTAGGGAGGCTAGCATGGCGCTGGGCGTGAACCAGTGCTCCATAAACGGAGGCCACTGTCACCATTATTATTGTGCAGCCAGGAAAACATTTTGACAAAATGTAAAATGCTCAGAAAAGGCTTAAGATTAAGTGCTAAGCAAAAGAGCAATTCACCCAAATGCTGTTTACATTACAGTCACTGAGTTAAACCAGCACGACGACAAGAAACTAAAGGAAATTGGCCAGAGTGCTTCATAGTCATTGTCTTAGGTTGGATGAGATTGTGGGTGAATGATTTTCTTCTCTTTTGTATTTTCCAAAGTTGCTATAATAAGCATGTGTTGCCTTTAGATTGTTTTATTGAAGTATAACGGACACACAGAAAAGGGCACAACCAATAAATGTCCAGCTCAGTTATCACAAAGCAAAGCCTATGCGACCACTGTCCTGATCAAGACCTAGGACATGGCCAACGCCCCAGAAGCCCTCCTCCTGCTCCCTCCCAATCCCCATCACCTCCCCCTCTCCAAAGGGAACCAGTATCCTGACTTGTAACTCTATAGTTCAATACTGCCTATTTTTGAACTTTGTATATGAAATTATACGGTGTATATTGTTTGTGCCTGGCGTCTTTCACTCAGCGTTGTGTTTGTAAGGTTCAGCTATGACTGGTCATTCATTCTTATCTCTGTAGAGTATTTCATTATATATATATTACATTTATTCCTCACATATATATATATCTCTCTCACAATTCTGGTGTCTATTCTACCTTTGATAGACATTTAGGTTGTTTCCAGCTTGGGGCTGTTATAAATCATGCATCTATGAGATTCTTATACATGTGTCTTGATGCATATGTGCATGTATTTCTGTTGGATATAAGCCTAGGAGTGGAATTGCTAGGTCATGGGGTGTACATATACTCAATTTCCATCGATAATGCCAACTGTTATCCAAAGTGGCTGTGCCAGAGTATGTACCCATGAGTGTGGGAGAGCTCCCAGTACCCCATACCCTCGCCAACACTTGGTATTGTCCAACTTTCTAACATTGGCCAATCTGGAATTGTGGAATGACATGTCATTGTGGTTTTAAGTATTCCTTTTTAATTTAAGGAATTAAAAGAAACAACATGTTTAAAATGTAGGATGCATCTTGACATCACTAGTGGTTTGTTGGGTGCCTGCACCCTAGCAATCACTCAAAATGTTTGAAGAAGCAATAAAAGACTGAATGAATGCTTGATTTCAGGAGTGCTTCTGGATTCCTGAGTGTGTGTCTGTAATATAGCCTCTATCTTTGATATGCCTGTGAAATTCAGTGAAATATATTCAGACGTAACAGAGGCTTTGAGAAGAAGGGTAATATTTCTAAGAAAAATTAAAACGTGAGGGTAAGGTGGTAATCTTCTCTCCCTTTCCTCTACCTCCCCCAACTTAAGCTGTGGCCACACTGGCTCCTGAGGAATGTCCTTGTCTGTGTGTCTTTTCCAGGAATGAAGATCTGATTAGCAAGTGTGGAGATGATGCCCGCATCTACATCACGTTCCAGTATCATCTCATCGTCTTTGTGCTCTTCCTCTGCATCCCCTCCTTGGGCATCATTTTGCCCATCAACTACACTGGAACTGTCCTGGGTAGGCGGAGCTCAGCGGGCCCTGGGCCTGGGCCACTAGACCTAAGAGGCAGCCTGGTAGGCGGGACAGAGCTTAGGGCTTAGGCGTCTAGAAATCTAAGTTTTAATTCTACTTCTCAAAATTAGTTATGTGACCTTAGGCAACCCGTGCTTCAGTTCTCTTATGTGGAGACTGGAGATGATACCTCCTTCATCACAAATTTGGCCCAGGGCCTGGCACACAGCAGGCACGTGATAGTAATTCAGTCTGGAGCTGAATGTTTATCCATGACCCCACACCGCACCTGGCCGGGTGCTCGCGGAGGCCCTTTTATGACGTGTGACCCACTGCAAAGATCCCTGAACCTGATTTCTCCCTGTACCCACTTACAGACCATAAGTGCAGAATTTGTCTCCTAAAGCATCTACCCACACTTGTTACAACAGGGTGAGTCCTTTTGACAAAATAACGTCGTGAGCAAGGGCTTGGGCTTCAAAGACAGAAAAATCTTGGTTCTCCAACTGTTACCCACATCTACTTCCCAGACAATACCTTTGCCCAATCTAGCAAATTATTTCATCTTATATTTGGCAAACCTATCTCCTCAGGCCTCGGTTTCCTCGACTGGTTTGGGGATCAGGCAATAGTGCATGTCAATAGCCTGGCGTAATGTCTGACATAGTAGGTGCTCAGTGAATAGCAGCCAGTGTTTCACTTAGAAGTACAAAGACGCATAGAGCTGTGTGAAGGCTGTACAATTAGGTCATGTAGTATAGCACCTTAAATGCCCAGGTGGCAGCCAGCTTTACCCTGATCGCTCAGGTTTCTACCTGTTTCTCCTCAGCCAGGGGTAGCACACAATGCCCATGCCACCAATTCACCACTACCGGAGTAAACAACTTCTGAGCCCTGTCTTTCCAGATTCTCATCCTGAGAGCTAGTGTGTTGACAATGATAATACAATGCAGGATTTCTAGACACATTTCATAAAACCTGGAGATGTCTACACCAACAAACTAATACACTTAGCCAGAAGGATTTACTCTGTCCAAATGAGGCAGGGTCACATTTTCTGGAGTTTCAGGTTCTTGTGATTGTTGCCAGTGGTGACAGTGTTGCTAATTTCATCATTCCGCTCATGGCGGGGTTGCCGGGTTCCTCCAAGAAGCATTGACTGGTGTCTACTATGTGCCAGATGTACACTGGGGATGCCATGCCAAAACTTGGTCTTGCTTCCCTGCCGAGGAGCCCCAATCAGCAGACCCAGGGAGAAGAAGAGGCCTCTGCTGTTTTTGTTGGAAGTTGGGGCCAAGCTCTGGGGAACTAGAAGGAAGAACAGGACATAGACAAGCATCTCTAGACCCCAGGCATCCTATCTGGAACCTTGAATTCTGGCGCCCCCACACTAATCAAGGAGCCAGGCTTGAGGTCAGCCACTTTCTTCTCTTTCAGAGCGGAATAGTCACTTTGGTCGGACCACCATTGTCAATGTCTCCACAGAGTAGGTACCTGATCCTCCTACCTCTCATTCTACTGGCTGGGGGCATTAGTGGGGAGAGAAGGTCCAGCGTGCAGGTCCATAACATGGGCACTGCTTTGCTGATAAGAAAGGCCTGGTGTCTTTAGGAACCCAGGTCTTGAGTGGGATGCCAGAATTTGCATTCTCTTGGTGGGGCAGGACTCTCGGTGCCTCAATGTCTCCATCTCTGTAACAGGAGGGACTATCTAACTAGCCACTCCTGAAGACTTAGAAGGATGGTGCTATTTGCTTAGTATGTCCAGCTCCCAAGAGACAAAGACCCTGTAGCAAGTAGAGGTTTAAGGTATTGTTTCCCTGCTCACAAAATAGGTTCAGGTCAACCCTCATATAATGGAGTGAAGCACAGACCTCGTTCCCACAGTGGAGGGACCGAGAAACTGCGCGACTTGGGTTCATGCACCACCTCTGCCATTAGCTGGCCCTGTGTCTGGGGCAGTGTATCCTCCCCAGCTGAGCTTTATTCCTCACCCGTGATTGGAGAAGAGCTGTCGGGCCTGATATCTAAGCCCCTCCAGCCTGCATGGAATCCGGGACCCATGGATTTTAACATCAGCCAACCCAACTGGTGGCTAAATCAATGTGTACTGAGCCAGATGCAGCCCTGCTGGTCCACGCTGAGACAGCAGGCCCACTAGGTGTCTTGGCCAAGCCGACTTCCTGACAGAGCTGAAGCAGCAGCTGTAGCAGGGGTGAGGGGGGATTCACACACTCCTGCCGCCCCCTCACCCCACCCCTGCCCCTCTGCCTCCGTACCCCTGCAGTCCATCAAACTCCAAAATCAGCCGAATGGGGCCATGGCTTCCTCTCACCTCCCCTTTCAGCCAGCTCCTCCCACAGAGGCTGCTAACACCAGAGCAGAGGTTACCAGTACCTCCCTGGCCGGCCACTGGTGCAAGGGGCCTACACCTTCCCGACAAGAAGTGGATCATAATAGGGCAGCAAAGAGCCCTCAACAGCCATAAATCCATACTGGCAGAGAGCTGGAATGTTCCTTAGAGACCACATCACCTTGTCCCCTCTGAGGAATCTGAGGATCGAGGTGTCTAGCTAGGTGGGGGAATGTTAGGCAGAATGTGAGGCACTGGGACAAGTGGTGAGGAGATATTTTGAACGATGCAGCCTTTCTCCTCAAACCGCACCAAATAAGGTGGGCCCTATTTCTGAATAGCCTTCCTGGCCAGATGCCAAAGCCCAAGAGCCACGTTTCTTCCTACCCCAGGGGAGGCCCAGCGAATCCGCTGGTCCCTCCTTCCTCTGGGTCTGCGCATGGCCCCGGAGTCCCTCACCGCAGAGGTGGGGCGGCCCCTCCGCCTGGCTTGCTGGGCAGCTGTGGGGGCCTGAGCCGCAGCCGCTGGCACACAACATAGTCTAGGTGCTTACGCAGCTCTGGGCTCACCTCCCCATGCTGCCACCGCGAGGAGTGACCTCAGGCAGGTCACCTGCCACTCTGGCCCTCACTTCCCTATGGGTAAAATGAAGATAGTCACAGTACCACCCTCACATGGTGTGACAGTCTAGTGAGAAAAGGTACATAAAGCACCTAGTCCCACCTGGGTCTGGTATATAGTAAGCACTCAATCAATGCCAGCCTTTAAGCTGGAGTGCGCCACCCCCTTCTTACCCCCGCCATCCCCTTCCAAGGGGCCTGAGTGTCTGGTGGAGTGACCGAAGGCACCTGAATGTCCAGGAGGCACCTGAGGGTGGTCCGAGGGGAGACTGTGTGGGGTGGGAGAGGGGATCAGGGGATATTGTGTGGGTGGGAGAGGGTGGTCAGGGGAGACTGTGGGTGGGAGAGGGTGGTCAGGGGAGACTGTGTGGGTGGGAGAGGG